CCTAAACTGTTCTTTGACAGAAAAGATTACTTGTTTATTCTTACAGAACTTGACATACCCTTCTCTTATTAGCCCCACAAATGCCAGCTCCATCATCCCATAATATATGTTTAATGAATATTTGTTGACTTGCAAATATTGTATTAGGAAATCTGGACTAATTTCTTATTCATTAGGGGAGGTGTTCTGTGTCCTTTGGAAGCTTTCTGATCACATGGAAAGCACTTTAAAGAAAGAGACAGGAGCCTTAGCTTTCAATTCTGGCTGTGTCACAAACTCCCCTTGTGACCTGCAGCAAATCACTTGCTTTCTCTCTCTTTTTTAACATTTAATCACCTTTACTTATTTATTTATTTTTTGTTTGTTTGTTTTTGTTACTCCTCACCCAAGGATATTTTTCCATTGATTTTTAGGGAGAGTGGAAAAGAGAGGGAAAGACAGAGAAACATCGATGTGAGAGAAACACATTGATTGGTTGCCTCCTGCACATACCCTGACCAGGGCCAGGGCTGGGTTGGAGCCTGCAATCAAGGTACATGCCCTTGACTGAAATCGAACCCGGGACCCTTTGGTCTGCAAGCCGACACTCTATCCAGTGAGCCACACCAGCTAGGGCCACTTGCCTTCTCTTGCTGTCAGTTCCCTCATTTGTGAAACCAGGATTGATATGTAAAGTTTCTTTTAGCTCTGGGTTTGGGCTGCTCTAGATAGGCAGCCTTTTTCATGTCATTGCTATTAATGTACACAGTGAATTATTTTCCCCCTGTAAGGACTGCCTAATTGATGGCTCACCCCCAGTATATAAAGTGAAAAACACAAGAGAAAATAAATGCTTTGGCCAAGCTTCCATGCCTAGCATGTGTGCATGTGTAGGGTTGGGGGGTGTTGCTCACTCCTCATCCCAGGCCCCTGGCTTTGACTACATTTTTCCATCCCAGAGCTGTTTAGCAGCTCTTCCCAAGCATAGGACTGTCAACCCTTAATTATATGCATGCCCACTCTCTCCTCTGTGAATGACACAGGGCAAAGGTATGACATTCCAGCTGGGATTCCTCTTGTCCCTCTGAACACTCCCATTCACTGCCATGTTCAGTACAGTCTGTTCAAGTATTGTCTTCTGAGAAGGAGATGAAAGACACAAGACACTAGTCCTTGCCCTCATGGAACTTCTAGTCTACCTGAAGTGGGGACGTAAATGTGTGGGGGAAAATGTGCTACCATATGTAAGGGAGAACCTGGGAGTCAAGTGCTGCTTTGATACATCTCCAATACCTGACACATAGAAGATGCTCTACAAATACATAAAAATAGGTGCTAATTGCCATGGTTTTCAAACATTTTAGTTTAATGAAGGGAAAGCCTTTCTTCAGTGAAACAGGTGGATATAAGGTTGCCCTGGTAAGAGGAGCTAGGGTCAAACCCTGCTTGCTCAGGTCTCCTCTGGGCACCAGAGATGATCCTCAGCCCAGTCACTTATTGCAGTCAATTAGAAAGGAGCTGAAGATCAACTTGCTGTTTTTCCTGGTTAACCTTAGGAAAATAAATGGAGGTTTGAAGAACCAGGCCCTCCAAAAGGAATATTTGCCACCTGACAAGGCGTCGTCAATCTCTCCTTTCCCCTCCTTCTAGGACAGTGGTTCTCAACCTGTGGGTCGAAACCCCTTTGGGGGTCGAACGACCCTTTCACAGGGGTCGCCTAAGACCATCGGAAAACACATATATAATTACATATTGTTTTTGTGATTAATCACTATGCTTTAATTATGTTCAATTTGTAACAATGAAAATACATCCTGTATATCAGATATTTACATTACGATTCGTAACAGTAGCAAAATTACAGTTATGAAGTAGCAACGAAAATAATTTTGTGGTTGGGGGTCACCACAACATGAGGCACTGAATTAAAGGGTCACAGCATTAGGAAGGTTGAGAACCACTGTTCTAGGGTGTTCCAATTAGTAAGGGCAGAGGGGAGAAAGTTTTCACTGGGAGACTTGTAAGTTAGTCTACAAATGTATATCAATGTAATGTTTGTTTATTTTAAATAAAGAAGGAAAGAAAACCACAGTGGTAATGTTTTCCAGTATTCAATAGAAAGTCATTCCATGTTGTCTTCCAAGCAGTCCTGATTTGAAAATACAATGTAAAACTCTCATGAAATCTGTTTAGTTAGTAGATGGTGCTTCCTTTTGCACAGCTCACCCTACATCACAGTGGTATCTACATTCCTGACCAAATTCATGGTCAGCCTTAGGCACATGCAGCTGCTGGAGGGGCTATCTGATGAGAGAATCTCTACACATGCTTGTAGGACTGAGACCCACTTCCCAACTTGGCCTTCTCCTTGCCTTTCCACCCCTCATCAGCAAGGGAGGGAAAACATACTTGTTTTCCAAGGATGCATACTTGTGAAGGTGATCCAGGGAGGAAGGTACATCCCAGATATGCATCTGGAAGACAATTTTGGGTAAGCAACATCTCTTTTTAAAAATCTGTTAAATGGATAAAGCTCTTGACTTAAGAGATTTTCATCATTATCCATCTCATGGCCCTTTCGTAAAAATCTCTTTACCTGTACCACAGACTGTCCCTCCATGCAGATGCCAGAAGAGGCAGACATTAGACCGAATGTGTCCCTCCCAAATTCATACGTTTAAAGCTAACCCCTAGTGTGATAATATTTGGAGATGGGACTTTTGGGAGGTGATTAGGTTATGAGGGCTCCCTCACAAATGACATTTGTGTCCTTATAAAAGAGACCTCAGAAAGATCACTTGCCCCTTTCTGCCATGTGAGGTTATATATAAAAAAGAGCCGCTTATGAACCAGGAAACAGGTTCAGACCAGACACTGAATCTGCAAGGGCCATGATCTTGGACTCCCCAGCCTCTAGAAATAAATTTCTGTTTTTCACAATCCATCCAGTCTATGGTATTTTGTTATAGCAGCCCGAGTGGACTAAGACACCTCACTTAACAGCAGGGGAAACTGAAGGGTAAAGGGAGCTCACTTTAGACAGCAAGTCACCAGGAGCCCCAGCTTCTCCCCTACTGCCTGACATAGCCATCTCTTCCACCTCTTGGCCAGTCCTAAGACTTCCTTACCTTCAAAATCTATCTCAAGCCTGACAGCCATCTATTCACCCTGGCCCTTCCAACACTACTGCAGGCTTTGCCCCCTGTCCAAGCCCTGACCACAACATGTAGCCTAGTCTTTTGCACTTAAGTAGCTGAGCTTGAATCATTAAATCTGGTCTTAAGATAGAAGCCACTCAAGGTTAGGGCCGGAGGGAACCTTAGAAATTAGGAGAAACTGAGGCTTTCCTACGGTTCCAAGGTTATGAAAAAAATATGGCTGCGACCCAAGTTTTCCTATGTGTGTTTATGCCTTCCTGGCTACATCCTGAGTTCCTCTATTTATTTTCTTGGTCTCTTTCCCCTTGGCTGCACAGTACCTGCTCTCTGTGACCATGGTGTTGACTCAAGGAGGGATTAACAACTTAAACAACAAAGAGCCCAGATAGAGGCTGTGGTCCGAAGCCCTGAAACATGACTTGATCCCAACTAAGACCTTCGCTGGTATTGGTTCGGGAAGCCCAAATGATGGCTCCCAGAAATTAGGTCACTTGCTCAAGTTTACTTGGCTAAGAAGTGACCGCAGCAGGAGCCAAGTGTAGGTCCTCAGGCCCCAGGGGCAGCGCTATGCCCTGGGCACTGCTTCAGGCACTGTCTAGAGCCCGCAGATCTGGAGGCCCACTGAGCCAGGGGTAAGCCCAGATCCCGCCCCCCTCCTCTGCTCAGCGTGACGTTGGTGGAAGTGTGTTATTCCTTTAGGTCTCTAAGCATTGCCCGCGTATTTGTGCCTGTGGCTCCCGTCTGAAGTGTGGGGGTTGGAAGGAGTCAGTGTGGGCGGTTTACACTGACCTCCTGTATGTAATCCTAACCCGGGTACCGTTGAGGGTCCCTAGCCACCATAAGCCAGCCCTACCGTCTCACGCACAAGCCCCCACTGTGACTCGAGGATGTCTGAACTCAGGGTTCTGGAGTGGTGAAACCGGAGGCAGCTTGGCCGGCCGCTGGAGTACATCAGGATTAGAAGACTTTCTCTGGAGTAGTGCTCTCGGGTCCTTCTCCGCCCGCCGTGCTCCCTCGGCCCCCAGAATACCCACTGACCCCCGCAGGCGGAGTCCTCGTGGCCGCGCCCATCCTGCGGGTGGCCCCCGGCAGTCCAAGTCCTTCTCCAGATTCCGGAGTTGGGGGAGGAAGAGGTGAAGAGCCTGGGCACGCGAGGCGCCAATCCCCCCGGCTCGAGCTGTTAAGCACATCTTCACGCTTCCCCCACAGCTCAGCTCGAGCCACAGAACTTTTACACCACCCGCGTTCCCTGACGCTTCTAGAACTGGATACCAAACACCCTCGGATACCTGTATTCACTACTTTTGTAGGACTTTCCGGAGAAGGCGGACAGGGGGCCGGAACCGGGGTGAGGGTCTTCCCTGAGACCCCCCTAACCCGCTTCTCTTTGCAGGCAGCAGTGGTCAACCCTAGAAGGACGAGACTTGGGCGTCCCACAAGACCTAGCGGACTGTGCTCCTCGAAGTACCGGCCTTCCCTGGGGGTTAGGGAGTGTGAGGAGAGGGCCGCGGGGGGTTGAGGAGGGTGGGGAGAGGGCCGCTAGCGAACGGATCGGTTTGCTGACAGGTTTGAGGGTGGGATAGGGTAGTTTGGAGTGAAGAGCCCGAGAGCAAACACTGTTTCTTTTTCCTCTCCCCCTCATCCGAAAAGGAACCACATTGCCAGGGGGAAATAAGACAGTGTAAACACAAACAACCTCAAAAAGAAGCCAAGAAAAACTAAGCCAAAAAACCCAAGCGCAACACTGTTACAAAACTGTCTGGTTTTGTAACAATTTCCCTGCCGCCGGCCAATGAGCAGCGTGGCGGCGCGTCACGTGGTGACGTTTTATATAACGCTTTGCTGAGACAAGACAGTTATTAGGCGGCGCGAGGCGGCCGGCATGGAGCTCTCTGAGGAGCGGCAGGGACCGGTGTGCCGCCTCGCGACCGCAGTGGCAGCTCCAATTACCTCAAGCCGCCGCTCCCTGCTCTGGGTCCCCGGCCCCTAGACGCCTCTTCCTGAGTTTGTCCTTCTTTAATGGATTCATTTCAGGCTGAACAGATGCCGAGCTTGCCCGCTGAGCTCGCGAGCAACAACTTAGAGCTGGCGGAGCCGGCGGCATCAGTGACCCGTGTAGATTCGGGCCATCCGGAGGCGGCTACAGAAGGTCTCGCACCTCTACCGACGCGGGAGCCGGAGCAGCCTCCTCCGGCCTCGACGACGGAGTGTAAAGTCCTGCTCACACAGGCAGACGCCCTGGCGTCCGGGGGGCGCCTCCGGGAAGCCCTCGAGGTATACCGACAGCTGTCAGAGCGGCAGCAGCTGGTGGCCGAGCAACTGCAGCAGCTGGTGCGCTGCCTGGCTGAGAACATCCCGCC